GCAAGAGTAAAAACAAAATGTAAAATTCAAACCTGTGTTTCAGAATGCTGTAGTGGTCAGAAGTCTGTTGCAGTGAAAAACTGTAGCCTGTTTTGTTCAACGCTTACCTAACCATTTTTGAATAAAATATAAATTCAGATCATGCACAGGCTGTAGCAACTACTGTAAAAGCTGTATGAACTCAGACTAGGAAAAACACATCAAGTTTTACCTGTTTATTACAGAATCAGATGTAAAAATGGCTTTTTTCTTTCCTATTCAGAGCTAACTCATGAGTTTCTGCAGATACTGGAGAAAACACCCAGCAGGCTCAAGAGAATTCGAAATTGGCGGGTAAGAAGTTTTCCTGTACCAGTGTCTGGCAAGAAGAGATGAACTTCTAGGAGAACTATGAACCAAAGTGAAAAGTTTATTTATATTGTATGTGCTGTTTATTCCTGTGACTGGGTCAGGAGGAGGTGAAACTTTGAGTCAGCTTTTATCCTCACCTCAGAGCTAAATTCCAATGGACTGTCTAAATATTCTAAGCTGTGTATTTTCTCACTTCTTTCTTTTTTGCTTAGGCAAATCAGGCAGCTAGGAAACCTAAAGGTGATGGACAGGTATCTGAGAACTCACTTCTTGGTTCATCTTTGGTCCAGAATTCCATTTTGGTGGATACAGTGACTGGTGTAGCTGCAAACACAAGTTTCCAAAAACCATCAACATCATTTCCCACACCAGTACCTCTGACCTCAGGAAGTATTTCTGTTCCAGACAGTCATGCACCTGAAAATTTGGCAATATTAGCTACAGGAATGCCAAGTACCTCATATAGTTTGGCATCACACCAGGAATGGCCTCAGCACCAAGAGCAAACACGGACAGAACAAATATACTCTCAGAAGCAGGAAACGTTGCCTGCGAGTCAGTACAACATGAACTTCCAGCCGGGGACATCTGTACAGATGCACTCTGGAGTACATCACAGACCTGACAAACTTGCTGAGCATTCTACTGTCAAACAAGAGTATTCTCATAAGTCAGGAAACAAACACCACGGACAAGTCGCTGCTCCTGTAATAATTCCTCAGAAAATGTCTTTGGATAAATACAGGGAGAAGCGCAAACTAGAGACCCTTGAACTAGATGTCAGAGAACACTATGTAGCAACCCCGGGCGAGCAGCAGCATAAAAAGCACCTGCAGCCACAGCCGGCCAGCAGCTCTTCTGTTACATCTCCCATTAAAATGAAAATTCCCATTGGGAACTCGGAGAAGCCTGAAAAACACCTGTCTGATAAGAAGGAAAAGGGTGGCTCGCTCAAACTGCGCATACCCATCCCGCCCACAGAAAAGGGGGCCAGCAAGGAGGAGCTGAAAATGAAAATCAAGGTTTCTTCCTCAGAAAGGCACAGCTCGTCGGACGAGGGGAGCGGCAAGAGCAAGCACTCGAGTCCCCACGTCAGCAAAGAGCACAAGGACAAACACAAGGAACACTCGCTGAACCGCCACCATGGCGTGGGCCACAAGCACTCCCACGCCCACGGGGGTGGCGGCAAACATGGCACTGACGGAGTGACACCAACTGTGCTGAGGAGTCCCGTTGGCCTGAGTAGTGATGGCAATTCCTCTAGTTCCGGCTCTTCGAGAAAGAAGTTGCACAGCAACGATGCTTCTCACAACCACCACTCCAAAATGAGCAAAAGTTCCAAAAGTTCAGGTAGTTCATCTAGTTCTTGCTCTGTTAAGCAGTATGTATCCTCTCACAACTCTGTTTTTAACCTACCCTTACCCCCTCCTCCCCCTGTCACATACCAGGTGGGCTACGGACATCTCAGCACCCTCGTGAAACTGGACAAGAAACCAGTGGAGAACGGTCCTGATGCCCATCCCCAGTACAGTACAAACAGCCAGCATATGGACTACAAAGACACATTCGACATGCTGGATTCGCTGTTAAGTGCCCAAGGAATGAACATGTAGTCAGTTCTTAGGTTGTTTTTCTTTACCTTTTTTTTGTTGCCTTTTTTTTTTTTTTTTTTTAATTTAAGAATTGTTAGAATGGAAAACTTCCTAATATAGCAGTGGCAACACCAGCTGTTGCTGCCGTGGTTTCAGTATATGTAAGTGCTGCTTTATCCTTCACTCTGAGAAGAAGAGGTATAGTAAACAAGTCTTTATCTCCACATATGATAGTGTTATAAATACTGTAATAGCATGGAAGGTGCAAAACTCTCAGTATTTCTACGACTGCAGCTGAGAACAGTAGGATGAATGCCCGCTTTTAGGTGCATAGGATGCCTCGAGCATTGGTTATTTATGATTTTCAATACTGCAGCCACAACTTTTTGTTGCCTAGTTTTTGGATGAGTGTCATTGTTTTCTTGTGTATTTATACTGTATGTATGATTTGCATGTTTCAAAGATAAAGGGATTAAAAACAGTATACTGACAACTGTTTACAAGGAAGTGGAGAAAAATGTACATACATTTTTGTATGTTTAGATATACCATAAATACTCAGGATTGGAGCTGCTTGTAAGTGTAACAGAATACACATTATTTTATCTTGCCAGAGTCCATCAGTTACTCAAACAAAGATGGCACTTTGTCTTGTTTATCTTTAAACTGTAGGCCTTATCGGAAGCCGCTTAAAAGGGACACTTCACTGGAGGAGCATCCAGGACCAAGTAGGGTCAGCACCACACAGTATTAGCAGGGAGGCAGGAAAGGGGGTAGGCTCTGCCCACTCAGTATGGCCACACCTCAGAAATGTCCCTAGATTTCTGAAGGAAAAAGGAATTAAAATAAAAGTTTACATAATCTTTTGATGTGAAGTGCATTTAAATGTTTATTGGCTTGATGCAGTAAAGTAGACACAGAGCTGTTAATAATGGTTATGTAGAGTAACGTGACTTAACTGCAATTCAGAGCTGTCATTGTGGGAAAATCATCTTTTTTTTTTAAAGAAAAACTAAATCATAATTTATTCTAATAGTGCGCAGGGGTCACTGTTCCCATTACCATTTCAGAATAATACCCACGTTCTGAAATCCAAAAAGTGTACTTGTGTGTGATGCCATATTTCTTTTACAGGTGAATGCAGTCTTCACAGTAAATAAGAATAAAACTATTGATATCCCAGCTTTATATTCCAACAATAAAATAGTTACCAGTGATTCTGTGCATTGTACTTGTCATTAGTTACCAAATTGGAAGAGGCTTATTCTGGTTTTTTCAGCTCTGGGGGGGTTAGAAAACCCCTCAGTGTCCCAGTTAAACCACTGGCATCCATTTAATCTGCCTGCAAGTGTCAGGGCTCGGCTGCTCTTCCCAGGGGCTTTGCCTGCAGGAGGAATGACGGGTGTCAATGTCCTTGTGTTCTCCAAGCCTGTACTGCAGCTCAGCCACCTGGAGAGCAGAGAACTGACTTTCTGGGTTGTTACTCAAACTTTTCATAAGCTATGAAGTACCTCAACATGAACTCAGTAGATTTCTAGTAGCAACAGCCAGTTTTCCATGACTTCTTTTGACTTGGAAGTGACCATGATGTGAACTTTTGCTAAGCCGCCTCATTCCCTCAGTGCTCCTTTAACTCTGTAAGTCCCCAAGGAACATCTGCAGCTTTGCCCTTCCAGTTCTTTACTCACCTGTGCTTTACATGATAAAACTGTTCAATCTCAGCCCGGTTGGTAGTTGCTGTATGATGTAACTACAGGTATATCAATTACTATGTAATACTCTGTTTCCAGTAATGCAAACGCTTGTAATTACTTGAATAAGTTTTATTTGAACTATGGATACTTTTTTTACACTTTAAGGAATATTTAAATGGAAACCTGATTGCATTTTCTGCTATATCTTATCTTAAGTCAAGGCTCGTGTACAAAATCCAAAGCTGTCTTATCCCTACTGACTTGGTTATTTTTCTACATTGGGAATGTAACTTCTTGTTACAAACTTCTGCATTGTTGGATATTTTCTATCCTTTTATAGTCCCTTTCCTTTCCATATCAGTGCTGCTCTTGGGTCTGATTTGTAACCAATGTAATCTGCATTATATACTGTCCTAAACCAGAGCCTGGGCAGAGAGATGACATAGCAGGAAACTGTCTTAATCTGTCTTTGAAGCACTACAGTACTTTCTTTTTGAGTCTGTTTAAATAGATGTGCCCAGAAATGCATCTTATACAGCCACTCTGGATAAGCAATATATTGTACTGTATATATAGCATTTTCTGTCACAACCTGGAGTTAAAATGTTTGGATGGTAACTAGTGCCTGTCTAATATACATTGGAATGAGCATAGGCCTTCCTCCTAAGGTGCTGTTTCAAAAGAATTATTTCCTGTTTTGATTCTGGGAAGTTGTGAAATAATAGTGGACAAAATGTTGCTATGCTACATTGAGATCCAAACAGTGGGTTTTGGTTTCTCTGTAAAGGATGTCCATAAAACTCATGGAGTTTGGTTTTCAATGTCATTGTAAATAGGTGAAACTGTACGTGTCATTGTGTTTGGAACTGAATTCCACCGCTGAAATCAGTGGTGGTCCCTGGGGCTGAGAGGGAGGGAGAGGAGATGCAGCCAGGTGCCACTAGTTTGCCCTGACTGAAATTAGTGACTGGTGTGAATGGCAGCCTGGCTGAGGGGTGGGAAGGAATGAAAACTGACGGGATCGGCATTGGCCGCACACGGGAATGACTGAATAAATGCAATAAAAGGCTCAAAGTCAACACTGTTCCTTTGTTCATCACTTATTACAGATTTTTTGTTATAAATTTGAGTACAAGAATTATATAATTTGTAAAATGACACTGTAGTGGAGACCTTGGTACAACACTATTAAAAATCCTCCCTGTTTGTGAGATCTGAGGTTTGTAGAATAGTGAAATTCTTTCATATGTTGAATCTTGGTCTGTTCCTGATGGTGGGAGTGCTGGGCTGACGTATCTCACTGTGAGCTGGGTCTTGGCTATTTGCATAACATGGCAGTTCTGTACATTCTTCTGGCTAATTGTAAATATAAATGTTTCATAATAGCTTAGTTGCATTTTTGAGGTACAGCCATTTGTGTGAGATTAGAAAAAACTTTATTTCTAAGAACTTGTAAAAAAAAAAAGTATTTTCAATAAAATTCCCTACCTCACCTCTATTGTGCAGAAATGATCCCATTTTCCTATGTTGAATTTTTACAAAGTTGGAAACACAAAGGTCCTCTTTCAGTTATTGGCTAAACATTGCTGGTTTTCATCAAATCAGTCAAATAACAGACTGCTTGAAAGTCTGAAGCCTCATTTGTTTCCTTTGCTCCCGTTCCATTGTGGTGATCAGGTATTTGGTACCTGAAAAGTAAGTTCTAGAACTGTTATGCCCTCTCCAGATGCTTCCTCCCTGTGCCCTGGGGGCCAGAGCTTGTACCCTGGAGTTGTGTAGGGGCTGGCCAGGCTTCAGGGGAGGGTTATTATTTTTCTTTTCAGCAGTGAGGGGGTGGGTGACACTTGTACACCAAGCATCTCTCTGACCGTAAGGGGGGAAGGGTTCCCAATCCTTGTTTTGCAGGGAAGGGAATTGGACAAACACTTTGCTTTCTTTAGTTGGGATGTAAATGCACATTCCCATAATCAGTTCTAAAAATAAGTGTCTTCAAAGACTTGGAAGTTATGCCAAACTAAACTAGCTAATTAATTCCTCCTTCCTCTGGAATGCCTAACTTCTTAGACCTTTTAAAAAGTAGATCACTAGTGCCAGGAGTGTTCTCTCCAGTTGCTGCTGGGAATTACTTTCTCTGGCTCCTGACATGGATATAGCAAACCCAAATCCAATTTTTAACCTTAGATCTTTCAGTAGCTGGGTTTGATTCCTCTGCGTTCCTGCACCTATAATGGCAACATTTTCCTTGCCATAGTTCAGAGATTGTGGTCTTTGACAACATCTGTAAAATTTCTGAGGCTGTCCCATGGTGCAGGTCCCTGGGAGAAGGGAAAAGAAGGGGAGAAAAGGCACTGGACTGTGTGTACTGGAGGCCCTTCCTCAGGAGAACTCTTGTTCTCTTTTGCTTTTGTGCAAGAACCAGAGATTTCACAGGAAGGGTGGAAAAATGGCATCAGTTCCTGCTTAGCTCTGTGAAAAAGCACTGATTTTGAACCCAAATAATCTCAAGACACTGTGGGTTTTCTAGGCTAGGTGTCTGCTTCCTTGGAAAGAGAGGTAGATGTATTTTTAGATGCAAATTTTTACATCCTATTGCTGTTGGTAGTTCCAAGACCGGTGTAAAATAGGTGGTTGGCATTCCTAAGGACCCTCCCTTCTCCTGAGATGTGAGCAGTGGCTCAGAGCTTCAAACATTACTGTGTGAAAGGACTAGCAAGTACCCTGCAATGATACAAGAACAGTGTGTTTTCAGGCTCTCTGATTTAAGCCCCAAATCTGTAGGAAACCTGGAGTCACAGCAAAGCACCCCTCCTAGTGCTTGGCAGCCTGGCATGAGTTGTAATGGGCTCTTACTGGTTTCAGATTTAAACCAGTAAGACTTGCCCTGCTTGAGTACTATAATTAAGCAAGTGTCACCCTCCTCCCTGAGTCACTTCTCATGGAATATACAGTTTTCAAGGTTTTGCACCCTTTCTCTTGACTACCTTAGACACCTTAATTAGGCATCTGGATTTGGATGTGAAAATCTGTGATCTCCTCGAGTAAGAAATGGCAAAGTTAGACTTGTTTCTAGAATGTCCTACTAGACTGGCTCAGCCGAGTGACCCGAGACTCCCCAGCCCAATGTCCTGCTTGGTTTAGCTGTGCTGTGCCCTGGGCTGGGCTGCAGGCACATCCCCACCATCTCCAGCAGATTAGGCTGAAATACTTTGTTGCAAGTGCTGGCCTTAAACTGCCACCTCCTTCTCAACATCTGGTTAATCAAAAGCAAAAATGTGCTTTCACATTTTGATTAAAGGCTCGGGTTCAAGTTTTACATACTTCTAAGTTCCAAACTAATTTTAGTGTAATTAGCTGGATTAAACATGACAGTTAAATTACAAATAACTAATAACCTTAATATTGGAGAGTGCTAACAAGAGACGTTAGTTTTGCTTGTAAGTCATGTGCATAAGGAAGGGGATTTATAATGCTGACATTTTATTAATTAACTATATATTCTAGAGCATTCCCATTCTTCCCCACTTATATCTGTCATCTCAGCTTCATTTCATGCTAAATAAAACCTCACATTTACTTTGCAGCTTTGCTGGAGACACTACATTAATCTGAGAAGAATTAATGCACATCATGGAATTATGTACATCCCACCTGAGTTCCTATGCCAGGGCTCCCACCTTTACTCTGCAAAGTACTTAAATGTGAAGATCCTTTAACGTGACGTTGCCATGGATTCCTGGCATGAGCACCAACCTGTATTCCTCGAAATAGGACTGTTAACTGCTTGAACTTGGAAGATTACTGTGATGTTGGGACTTCTCTTATACTGGCATTATGTTCTGTCATTGTTATGTGACGTTATACCTACAGAAACTACCAATAAAGGATTTTGCTAGAAGTACTGGTTTCTCTTTGCTTTTATAAAGTTTAGACCAACTCTCTGAAATCAGGCGACTAGCATTAAACAAAGCTTGAGAGCTATTTGTGAAACTAAAGTGTTTAGCACTCTGAGGAAGTTAGAACTTCCTTCTTTCCCTTTTGTAAAACACTAATTTTCACGTTACTGCTGGCACTGAAGCCAGTGCCTTGAATCCTTGAGAGCTCAGCTCTGAACACTTGTAGGGCTGAGTTTTACTGCATCTCTTCCTGGAGCCTGGGTGCTCACAAAGGCTTAAAGTTTACCCCATTTTGATTGGAAGAAATCTTACCAGAAACAAGACATTTTAAATTCTAATACCTGCTTTTTTACTTTGGTTTATTACTATATAACTATACTTTTTAATTTTATTTAATTCTGTGCAGTTAGTAGTAGCTACTTCTACTAATTGTTACAATTACTTTTGCAGTGCAGATGGAGACTGTTACATGTCATCTAATTATAAAGTGGTCACTTCAAGTGTTTTGAGAAACAGTTCAAGTTTCCAACGTGTATCAATACCCCATGAGGACAGGAAGGAACACAAAGCCAGACCCTTCACTGTTACCAGTGACAGGACAAGAGACAAGAGGCACAACTTGACCTACAAGACAGTCTGTTCAAACATAAAATCCTTTTTACCTTGAGGGTGGTTGAAGCCTGGTGTGCCTGTTTAATCAAAGGCCTAAGACTCCTTGTACACAACTCTCTCCAGTATTTCCGCTGTCCCTTAAAAGTCCTGTTCCTTCTGGTCTCTTTTCACAAGTGGAAATCTTTTATATGGCAAATGGATACTCACTTGGCAAGAGTTTTGAAAAATTCACTGTCTTCCTTTCACAAAGGGATGGTCCAGCAACTGCAGAGCAGAGGGGCGTTCATGTTGATCCCTGCATTGAAGGTTTCAAAAATCAGGACATAAAATTAGTATTGTGCCTCTGAGGGAATCGTAAAATCTAAATGCAAAATTAGCCTTTTTTTTTTTCTTATTTCTCCAGTCACTACTCGTTTTTAGGTTTTTTTGATAAAGCTGGTAGAAAGGAAGGGAGGCTTCAGGTGAAAAGACTGTTGGAATTTATGAATCATAAAACTGAAATATTTTATTCTTAAAGAAATCAGTCTCTATTCCTCTAAATTCTTTGCAGAGGTTTGAATAATTCTGCTAATTTGGCTGTTTCAGGTTCATCAAAAAATGTATTTAAGAGTGGTAATTATTTGTTTGATCCTCCATCAATCAGGCTGTTCTGTCATCTCCAGTCAATGTCATGCATGTTAAGGAGCCCACAGATTGCCCAAAGAAGCTGTGGATGTGTCATCCCTGGAGCTGTTAAAGGCTGGATGGGGCCCTGAACAATTGCCCGTGGTTTAGTGGGTGGAGTCCCTGCCCATGGCACAGAGTTGGAACTAGATGGTCTTTATGGTCCCTTCCAACCAAAACCATTCCATGATTTCTGTGGAATTACAGGACAGTAATTACAGTATTGGATTGCTAGAGCCAAGGGCTTTGGGCTTTTTCAACCCTCAATTTGGAAGGAAAAAAACAGGGAAAGGAATAAAGGGCACCAATTCCTCAAATAATAAACTAATGGGGAATATGGGATAAGGGAGACATTTATATTTAGGACATGGTGAGATCATACACTGTTTTTGTCACCACAGGTGCCTCCGGACTTTTGAAAAGCTAAATGCTGTATGTTTCCCTCTACCTAAACATTCCTTCTCTCTTTTAAACCCTCTTCTCTCTGAATCAAAGTATATATGATGTCACTATATACAGACCACAATTTTTCTTATTGTTATGTGGTCCACAGGAACCAGAACCATTCCCTAACAATTCTAATCCAAGGATTAGAAATCAGGTTTCCTGCCCCCAAGACCACTGCCATGCCCACCAAATTACATGCTTCTCTCTTGTACTCAAATCTGATCTTTAGAGATACGTAAAAGACTGCTCCTAATTTTATAAAAGCTACACAGAGGTCAGGAACTTAGCTCTTGAAACTGATGGTCCATTTAAACATTGGGACACAGCTGATATTTTAAACAAAACAAACACCACAAAAATAATTCTTATAATGAGTGGATGCTAGTGGTTTGGGGTTGTTATGTAGAGAACTTTATGTTTCTAATAAAGATTGTGTTTCAAGTATTTCCTGGACTGGCAGTGATAATAGATTTTTCCACTGCAGAAGATAAGAATTAATTGGAAGCGCTTTCATTTAGAATATTGTCCTCAAAAAAACTTGCCTGACATAAGCAAAACTCAAGCAATACTGGATCAGCAAAACACATCAAAGAAATTTATCAAACATTTAGTCTAAAACTCAGTGGTGTTTCTACATGAAAATTACAAAAAAGTAAATGATGTGTAAGGCCTACAAAAAGAGAATTTGTGAGGGTTTTTCCATACCATTAGAGAGTAAAGCTCTTTTATATATACTATTATTTAGAGGCTTTCCTGAAATGCTGAGAAGCCTAAGCATTTACAAAAGAGACACGTACATTATGAGTTGTAACCTAAGCTCCTGCCAACAATCTCTACAATCCAAACTGTCTGCATTCTTCCTTTCATTTTCCAGTTAAGGTTCTCCACACCTGGTTAAGCAGGCACGCACAAAATCCATGGCAGCGCTGGAGAATCCCTCGGGAAGGGAAGGCATCAGCCCCCTGTGGGCCCCGATGTAGAACATGGCTGCAATCCTGCCCATGGAAGCCAGGGGCGGCTTTCCTGTTGCCATCTCAAACACGGTGCAGCCGACGCTCCAGATGTCTGATTTCCTCCCGTATCCAGACTCACTGATCACCTCCGGAGCCATCCAGTAGGGAGTGCCGTGCACGGACCGCAGCGTCTCGCTCCGGGTGCCGCCGGGGCCGATCCAGGCCAAGCGCCTGGCACAGCCAAAGTCAATGAGCTTCACCGTCCCACTGGGCATGAGCATCACGTTGTTGCCCTTGATGTCTCTGTGCACCACACAGTTGGCGTGTAAATAGGCAACCCCCTGGAGAATTTGCCTGGTGTATCTGCAAAGGACAACTTCTGGCAACGGGCCAAAGCGATTGATAATACTGGAAATGGAGCCACCAGGAACAAACTCCATGAAAATGCTTAAAATGTTGTGTTCCAGACAAGTCCCTAAGTAAGTTACAATGTTGACGTGCTTCAATGTCTTCAAGAGATCAACTTCCTCATGAAACTTCTGGTACTCCTTTTCTGTAGTGAGTTGATCTGATGTGTCCAAAACAACCTGTTTTACAGCTATTAACTGTCCCTGGCTGGTCAGACCACAGTACACCTACAATGAAACCAGCAATTATGAAAATGAAATGTGAAATAAAGTATTTACTTATTTTAAATAGTATTTTTGTGTTTGTCATGTTTTGTGTCTCATTGTATAACTCAAAACACTGAAGTAATTTGTTGAATAGGACAACAGCCAGTTATGAGATAAAGTGTAGCTCAGCCACAACCAGCACATCTCTTAATATTCATACACCACTTACTGTGCCATAGGCTCCCTTTCCAAGGACTTCCCCTCTTGTCCACATGATAGGATCCTTGGTGGTTAAGCTGCTTCCTGGAAATTTAGTAGATTCATCTAAATTTAGAAGGCCACTTTCTTCACTTGGTGCCAAAAAGGCTTTACTGCAACTCTGCTTGAAAGGTGTTGGTCAGTGCGGGGAGAAAGCAGAGAGGAAAAGAAAGGCTTCATATTGTCCTTACAATTTTTATAAGGAATATTTTTTCCTGTCATGACTCTGCTCTATAGATTTATATATATACACAGACCCCACCCAGCCCATCCATACAATTGCTGTGCTAGGTAAGGCTAGGTAAGTAAGACAGCAATAATTCCTCCATCTAGCCAGGGATCTGTGTAGTGAGAATGGAGGTATAACTGGCACCTGTGTCTGCAGAAGCATAAGGGGGGGGGGGGGGGGGGTGGGTATGTGTGTGTGCCAACAGGTAGTGAAAGAAATTCCCTTACAAATTTGTGATTTAAACAGCCCAAAAGCTAACAGGGCAAAGGAGGAGCAGTGCTGGTAGATAAGCACCTTGGTAGGTGACGGCTCTTAACTGACTCGGGGGCCAGAATCTGAGCCTTCTGAGCTCCAAGTTCTGATTAAACATTAATTAAATATCCTTCAGTCTTCCTGATAAGACAGTACTTGTAATTCAGACCTGTAAAAATGTCTGGTTGCACTCACAGATTCAAGGCCATTGCCCTTTTTGGTATACAAGGACTGTTTGTGGCATCTTTTCATATTCCTTAGCTTCAAGATCTCCAGAGTTTTTGCCTTGCCCCAAACATTTTATACCTGTTCTACAATTAAAATAGCCTATTCTCTTCTTTCACAACAACTTCTCAATTTATCTTGACCCATGATATAAGCTTTGACAGCTATTCTTGTCCTGCCTTAGTATCTTCTGGCTTGTGTCCTGACATGCAGCCTCTAACATGGGTGTCTTCAACAGAGCACTGGAAGAATCAGTGGTCCGCTGGCCCAAGGAAAAGAGATTGGATCTTTAATAAGCACATATCTCCTGTCTTTCATCCAAACTTGAGTGAAGCATCACTCAAAGGAGGTAGCAAGTTACAAGAAATTACTTTTACCTTCTCTAGTGCATTATTTACTATTGCTCCATCTCCACTAATCATATTTTCTTCTTCAGTACGTGTGTTTTGCACCTCAGAACCTGTATTTTTTGTTCTCGTAGAGTTCATGTCCTTTTCTTCAAGCATTAGCAATTCTTCAGCCAGGCAACAAAGCAACTCATCAGTCACATCTTTATCTGTCCAGGACAAAGTGTTTTGACTTGTTTGGAAACTGGGGCTTTTAGGACTTTTTGTCCCAGTCACTGAAGGCTGAGTCAATTCATTTGCCAAAATACTACTTTGGAGTGTGTTTGCCCAACTGTGATTTGATTTTTCTGTAGGGGATTGACACTCCAGTCTATCTGAAAAGGGTGATGCTTCACACTTATTGACAGACTTGAAGGAGGCCTGGTCTGATTCCAGGCCTTTGCCACCATCCATATTCCCTCTGCACTGGGATACACAGATGTTCTGGTCTGCTGTTAGCAGACTGCTCCTCGGAACAACACAGTCTCTGCAGTCTTCATCACTGAGCTGAAGAAGATTCTGGCTACAGGGAGAAGCTCTCTGATGGTTGGATACATCCTGGCTGTCTAAAGACTGCTCCAAAGTAACTTCTTTGATAGTCGATAAGTTTGAATTTGAAAATATTTCATTTTGCTTAGTTGACTGCGAAAGCCCTTCTAACAACATACGCTGGTGATCTGTGTCTCCATGAGACAGTGCCGTGCTCCTTGACGTGTTTGTTTGAAAATCTGCATCAGAAGTTACCACATTATCTTGCTCTGTGTTGCTGTCACTCAACTTAGTACTTCCATCCTTTGGGATTGAACCTTTCTGCTTTTGTTTAGTGACAGGTTTTGTCTTCTTTGGCTTGGGATGTGTTTTCTTTGGAGTGTTTCTTACCCTGCTGCTCTCTCTCCCTTTGGCGCAGGTACATCTGCAGGTGCTGACAGTGCCTCTCCCTGAGGGAGCAGAACAAACACTTTTATAAAACCTGCTCTCATGTCGCTCGAGCTCCCGCACGTGGGAATACACAGGAGTTCCAAACATTTCATAAATCCCAGGGCCTTGGTCATTTGAGTTGATTTGCTTGAACATGTCACTGTATTTCAGGTCTCCAAAATCTAAGGCAGATGGTACGTGTGGCAGAGAAAGTGGAGTAACACTTTTCTTTAACTCAACTGAGTTTTTGCAACTGCAGGAGAAACTTTGCTTTTTGAGTTTCTGAGCACTCTGAGGAAAATGGCCTTTTTCTCCTTGAGGGTTTTTCTTCTGACACTTCAGGGAAGTCTCAGATTTCACCTGTGGCAGTTCTAAAGAAGGAAAAATCTGACTCTTGGCACTATGTTTTGTGGTAATCTCATCAGAAACAATGAAGTCTTTAGTCATCTTTAGCTTGTTATTAATTTTAGATTTGGATGAATATTTATTTCTATTAATCTTTCTTTTATTTTTGTCATTTTCTTTGTGAGAGAGAACATTGAAGCTCTGAGTACCCTGAGGAGGCAGGCCATGAACACAACTCTCTTTTGGGGGTGGTTGTTTAGCATTGTGTGGTTCCCTGGTTGGCTCTTTCTCAGAGAATGTAACATGAACAGCAGGTACAAGCTCACTTTGGTCTTCCAGAGTAGCTTCTGACATTTTTTCTTTTTCCATTTCAGATTCAGAGAGACAGACACGATTTTCTGTTTGTTTTCCAGAGGGATCTTGAACTTCTGCTGTGGGAATTACTGCAACTACAGAATTATCTTCTAAGGTATGGTAGGCCTCTGCCACTTCATTTTCACAGGAAGGATCTACATCATGATTGCCAAGCACAGAGTTTGCACTTTCAGCACCTTCACATGGTGCACAATCCAGCGCCAGCTCTGCAACATTTCCTTCTTCAGGGCCAGTGCTGCAGCAATTCTCTGCTGCCCTTTGCTCATTGCCAGCTCTTGAGGCATCGCTGCTGCTCAACATGGTAAATGTTGTCTGAGCTCTGCCACAGCTGACCAGAGCATCACTGGAGCTCAGGTGGGGGTGACCGTCACCACAGAGCCCAGCTTGGCTCACAGGATCGGTGCTCTCACAAACCGCTGAGCACTGGAACATCACCTGCTCATTGCTCTTGGCGTGGGCACCTACCTCAGCTTCCCTCCATCCCAAATGGCTTTGAATTCCTTCTTTCTTCTTGTTGGGGTACTTAGAACAGTTCCTCATGCTGAAGCAGTACAGGTCTTCTGTTGGAGTGACCTTATCAGAAATTGTAGCCACAATCAAGTCTGATGACTTTTCACCGTGCCTTTTGAATAGATTGTCTAACTGATTATGATAAAATTCGGTAACTGATTTTATAGGCTGAGGAATAGAGTTCATAATATTTAAAATATTTCTGATGTTGCTGCTTTCATTGACAATATCATCCTCTAGAGGAGCAAGATGAATTGTTCTTACAGGCTCACATGTCACTGGTGGTAGATGAAACTGTAATTTCCATTAAAAAAACATTAATAATGTGCTACAACACAGATACAGGTAAAATGTAATCACTGAGAGTTTTGGGTACACTGGAAAACAGCACAGTCTGCACTTGAGTTCCAGTGAAGGTAAATGGATAAACCCAAAGGCCATTTTCATATGGCTGCTAACATAGAAGTCTGTTAGGTAGGGGATGTGTTTTATTATTCCTCCCTTCTTCCCTCTTTTCCCATCACATTAGTGGAAGGTAACACCTTTCTTTGAAAGGTCTGAGAAGTGGAGCACTTTGTTGTGACTGTTTAGATGAACAGCGAGAATAATTTTCTGAAAACAGTACTTCTATTCTTTATTTTATAGGAAATGAAACAAAAATAAACTTGAATATAGTGTATATTTTTACGCAAATGGATGCAATAGAAATAATCCCACAGTCATCTACTCGGAGTACTTATTTGCATGTCTATGTTCCACATCAGTTTGCAATCTGCAGGAAATTTTTGTTTGCATTCCAAGGGCAAACTGAGGTTGGAACATGCCAGGAAAAGCAATGTCTATTGGTTTGAAAGCCACAGTTCTGAAGGCTTCGCCTGGCCTGTGGGGCATTAATATGAATGCTCAGTTTATCCCAAATGATATGGCTTTAGAGTCATCAGAGCCCAAGGTATGAAATAAAGCTGTGTTAAATCACTTTGGGGGCAGCTAAATTATTTTGCTTAAATATTTCCATCCATTTGAAATGTTTTGGGTTTTTTTTCCCATAACCCTTTTTATGATCCTGTATCAGATCTCTTATTCCTACTTCTATACTTTTCTTTCCTTTTTTTCCTCTGAACCCTGTTGTATCCTGCAGTGGCTTCACTGAAGTTTACACCTGATTCAATGAGTCCTTTGTACAAAGGACTATTGATTTATATCCATAAAGGCCAAATTCTCTTTTTTCTAAAAAACCTATATTTGATCTTTTGTAACTTTTAAGGCTCACATGGTGTGAAGCACTGATACATGTAAAATTGTGAGCTTGTTTCTAAGTACAACTGTTATGTCCAAAAATCCCATTTGCACTTATCACAAAATTTCATTTAAAGTATGTTTAATTCTAATTATTTATTATTTGTTAGTACAATCAATTTCAGTAATCATCTAATAGCAAGACTGTTTTAAAATTCAGCTTCAATTTTAAATTACCACTCAATATAAGAAAATTGTTTGGGCTTTTTTTAAATTTGGCAAAACTAGACATCTAATATTTTTAACATATAGGATGTTCATACATTAAATTAAATTACATATTTCTATTATAAGAGGTTTTGTATCTTTTTGAACTTTCAACCTTTTACCACCAAAAATCCCTGATGTAATTGGCAAATTGATGGCAATTTGTTGATATACATCTCAGGATTTGCTGACACACATATATATATATAAAATAAATGCAAAAATACTTCACCTCCTTAAAAAAAATCCACCTGAGACTAAGAAAACTACCTACATGACTTCTGTATTTCTATTTTTAAGATTTTGAAAGGATAGAATACTTTTATCAGTGATTATACCTAATGCCTTCTTACCTTAGATCTCTTGTTCCTGGTTTTTAGCATTGTTATATTTAACCCTTAAAAATCAAAACAAATGAAATGTTAATTTGATATTCTTAAACATGCTACAATTCTCATTTATAAATTCATTTCAAATTGTGATGTTCAGGGGACCAAGAATCTGTCAGATGGGTGGTCTCAGGACTATGATACAAATCTGCAGTGCAGAAAATGTTGTAGGTTGAAATTTCATCGTGATACTGAACTTCACAATTCCATTTTCTAAGGAAAATGATAAAATATTACACTTCTAGAATATTTTTACATTAATAACTTAAGCAAATCCTTCACAATTTTAGATGTTTGCTAACTACGGTATGCAGCTAATTAATATTGCCAGCATGAGGGAAAAGTGAAAGAGATGCCATCACGGTCCCACTCCAGGTACAGAAAGTTAAATTTACATTTTTTGGGCTCAGTTTTGTTATACAGAGTAACAAGAATGGTGAAGCTTGCCATTGCTTCTCTTTAGCTCCTTCATTCTGCAATACATAACATTAAAGAAGTTATCATTAACTTCAAACATGGCTGAAGTCTATGTGAAGAAGTCGAACAGACATAAAGACAACTTTAAAGTTTAAAGAAAAAGGATTTCTAAGGCTTTGCCATCTCATATGATAACTAATACATAACTTCATATAAAATTTGTGACTTTTAAACTGAACTTACTTTGTTGTGTTTGTGCTTTTATTATCTGAAAAGTATCTAAATCCACGAATGACTTTAAAATGTTGTATTCTGGGCACGAGGTCCGTAGCAGAAAGCTGAAGTCAAAGGCATACCCCATGTAGTCTTTCTTTGGGAAGAAAGATAAAGAAGTGGGATGTCTCTTCTGTAATGCAAACAGATTTTTACTTGGAAAACGTGCCACTTGTTGGTCTGGCCATGGTCTGGATGTTGATGCTGTTTGGCTGAAAGACAAAACAAAAACCAAAATACAGAGTGAAAATAAGTTAAAGGAGCAGCTCAAACAATCATATGACTGGAGAACAAAGGGAACGAGGAGTTTTTTAAATCCAAAAATGCCAAAGTATCTTTTCTTTCTTTATCTGGGAAGTTGTGCCTCTCCCTGGAAGCATCTGATTGCAAAGCCAGAGACTGACTACAAGTGAGAATGAATGACAGAGAATGTTAACCAAGCAAGAGCAGGAATTGAAAAACGTATTGTTCACCTTCTCCTTCTTGACAAAAACTGATTGCTTCCAGTTTGGTTTTTTAATGACTCATCAGGAATGCGTGTCAGAAGAATTCTGAGGCCCAGATGTGCCTTTGTTACTTAAAAAATATGCTCTGGCCTGCCTGAAAGAACAGATTCCTGCCACCTGTTTTCTGAAGAAGCAAAAATATGGAGAAAGATAAATACTGTGGTTGAAAAGAGGTACAAAAATACAGCCTAAGTTTATCTTAAAGCTGTATGCAATTGTCTGGTTTTAATAAGTCAAATTCTAATGTAAAACCATATCTCATATTTTTCCATATTCTACCAAATAATTTGTTCATCTAATGCAATATCCTGCCTCCAGCAGTGGAAAATAATTGCCCTTGGGAAGAGATAAACACCACACAACATATAAAGCTGAATATAATGTCTGGCACTTAAGAAATATTTTCTTACTCACAGACTACTACCTGCTTTGTCTTCATTGTGCACACTCAACTGCAAATAAAACAGTAATATGACTAACCTGTTTTTTCCTAGAGCTTTGTATGACTGATACATTTCTTCCATTGTCTTATCTGCATCCTGAAGAGCAGCAACACTTCCACAACCTGCAACAGTACATCAGTATTTGCACAAAACCAGTTTAATTCACTGACCAGTAACACACTGTAAACATGGTGGTTTTTGGGCATTAAAATATTATTATAAAGAAGTACATGAAGTAGCTATCAGGAAAAAAAAACAAGAGGATGTTACATTTGACTAATTTTTTTTTAAATGTGAATGCATAACTCTGATTTATTTTTAGTTATTTGGTAAGTGTAGTAATTCAATGGACTATAAAAGCAAAGAACATCTGAAAATAATTCCAGTCACAGCACCTAGATTAGTAGAACAGAAGATAAATATTGACAGAAACTCTGCAGAAGTAGAACATTTAAAAATATGAAAACCAAACAAATCTCAAGGCTTTACAAAGGTGGAAAGTAACTCTGAGTTTGATTTCATATTTTGCTATGGTTGCTTAGTTTTGACAAACATCCAGATGTTAAGTTATTATTGTACTTTTCCTTCTTCAGATCCCTCATCTTACACTTTATACACATAAACTTTGGTCAGACTACCTTTTTTGCTTCTCCTCTTATTTTGTTGGTTATCAGACATACTGTCCTTAAATGTATTAAGGTCCAGAAACCTGAAAAGAACAGTTTGTTAATTGATTTCCAATTCACATGTACAAAGCAGTAATTTATATTTCATTATTCCAGAGCCATCAGTAAGACAAAAACATTTTAAAAGTACCTGAAATTATTAAAAATCCTATAGTGTAGCATCTGATGCCCTTTCCTGAGAACATATAGAACCAAATAGCCCAGGGCATTTTTTTTCTACTGGGCCAGACTATCCAGACCGACTTGACTGAAAACATTAACAAAAATCTCATTGACATCAACAAGGTATGAATGTCACACTTTATCTCAGACCCGTTATAAATTCATAAATACATGAATGGCAATGTATTATCTCTGAATATTTACCAAGGTAAATTTTTCAGATGTTTTAAAATTGCGGACATTATAAAAAATAACTAGCCTTTATATGATTGCTTTTTTGGTTGCCATTGAATTTCTGGGAGCTGTGTCAGGCCTCTGAATGAATTTGATATGGCCAAGAGTCACTACCTGAGGTTGTTGACCTGTTAACTTATTAGTAGCAAACTTTTGTTTTCACTTTAAACTATTGCATTGTCAGAAATAGTATCTTAACCATGAGTGTACCTTTCTGTGAGCATCTTTATATATGTTTAGAAAAACATATTACTCAAAATGCACTGTGTTTATAAAACCAAAACCCCTTGAAATTTGCATTAAATTAGTGCTAAAAACATTTGTTAGATAATTCCTGGTTGTTGAAAGAGCTGATCTCAGGATATTAAAACAGCAAGTATTTTCTCTTTTCATACATTTATTTTCCACAACATATGTTAAGAAGGATAAGTAGCCAACCACTTGTCCAAACTGACAGCAAAGTCATGGTCTGTAAAGCAGGTTCTGTGAAAGCCATTTAGTTGCAGTGGAATTTAATACCACAGTTCTGGTAGAAAAGAACTTTCTTGGGAAAACTCAGCTGTCCAGTAGCCCTGTTCCTGACTCCAGTGGGACAGAGATTTCACAGCAGTTCAGATCTCAAAGCGTGAAACTGTGGAGCAGGATACACAGATCCTTTTCTCGCACTTACCACAGACGTTTATATCATCTTACAAAGCTACCTAACCTCTATAACACAGAAAGAAAGCATGATGATTATCTGAATGTGTAAAGGTTTTCAACACATTAATTCAGTGGGGAATATTTATTTTTGAGATTTTTTTCAGTGTTCCTAACTGTAGCTAATCTAAATGGTGTTTCTTTCAGAAGAAAATGGTATTTTTGACAAAAAATTAAAGCTGATAGTTGTTGAAAACCACTGAAAAGATCAAAACAGATTAGCTCCCCCCTGACACTTTTAATTGGAAATGTCCCCAATTGTGATTGTAAGTTTTAATGTTGTTTTATATGGCTGTTAGCCCCCTGTGCTGTATCATCGCTAAGGCACTACTGAATTCCCACAGAGAGAACAAAGTGCTCCTTAATATTGGTCTTTCCAGCAAATATACTTTCATTAGACTTTACCCTTAATTAGAAGATTGTAATGTACCTTTCCCACAACTAATGAGTGAATGTGCTGTGAGCTGGTTCATGATTATGGAAACACCAACCTTCTTTTCCAAGATTAAACTCCAAGATTAAACAGACCGTAAGGTGATAGTGGCATAAAACAACACAGAACAATCTCAAAGTGTAGGCTCTTAAAGAAGAAACATGAGAGGGTTAAGTAGAAGGATTTGAAGTTTTGAAATTCTAGACAGTTAATTCTTGAAATAAAATTAATCTCAGTTAATAGTTTTGATGGATTTGGGACTCTTTCTAAAAAACATACTGAACTTCAGTTTCTCAAGTGACAAGAGCACCTAAAGTAATTAAAGGTAGTGGATTGAAATGAATAAAAGAAAATACAATCACGAATATTAGTTCATATCTGTATTAAAATGTTTACCAATGTCTTTACTCTTTAATAAATAATTTACAGTAAAAACCAGATAAGATATTGTACATTAAATAAATAATATTGTCAGATATATAATATGCCCGAATGTACATGAATTAATATATATTTAAACATTTATGAATAACAGTGTCAAATTATTACATTGAGTACCTCTGGGTGATAGAAGGTAATTAAGTTCTTTAATGTGCATGGCAGGCTAAAAGAAAAGTATTTTAAAGTTATGTTGATATTTATTGAATCCACAAGTATAACTATAAAAATAGGACACCTAGTGGCTCCTATGTTGCTAATTTCTTTATAAAATTATATTTTCTCTCTGCTCTTTTCCTCAAGTTAGTGATTGAAAGTAACACTATTTGTACCTGTCTCTTCATTTCAAAGTCACTACAGAGGTCACTGGAAACGAATGGCCTATGTGGATTTTGTTGGATAGTAGCATATTGCCACTCAATATTGCTAGTCAGGGAAAGAATTAGGCTTTCGTTACTTATTCTATCAGCAAAAAAAAAATATAATTACTTGGAAACACATAGCAGCCTTCCCAACAGACTAGTGCGTTTTGCTAGATTAAATTAGTTTTTTACAATAATTTTATATGACATCTGAGAAATGTGTGCTATTTTATAGCTATATACAGACAGACATCAGACAGTACTATCATTCTTGGTTTACAGAAGAGGAAATAAAGAAAAACGGAGTGACCTATAGCTACCTTTGACTCACCTATGATCAAGATCATCCAATGAACTGTGCAAAAGTAGCTTAGAAGCACTCTTGATTTCTCATTCCTATGGATAATCCATCAAAACGTTCATCCCGTTATATTAGTCTAGTAAGAGTCAGATGGTGAACTCCAAACTCTGCACTTTTTTTTGGATGCACAAAGCCCACTTCAAAATAATAACTGAGGAGGTTCTGTAAAAAGGCACAAACAAATCTTACCTGGTGCTTCAGTAACAAAGAGCGAAAGAGGTACAGCAAAAAGAGAAGTTATAAAGCATTTTCAGCTCACGGCCGCCTTCCTTTGCTGGCCAGCGAGGAATTCAACAGCGATTACACACTTTTGGATTCGACTTTCGGCGTCTTTTCCTCACTGCGGAGTTCACAGGCTCTTCTTTCTGCAGGTGACACGAGGCTGTTGAGTTTACACGATGTTGCCGAGGTAACCCCTCCGGGGGGTATTTTACTTAGAGAAGGTTAACTCAAAGAGCAGCAGTGACCTGTGAAAACAAACTCGGCCGAGCTAAACGGTGTCGCCCTTTAAGCCCTAATCACAGGGCAGCTCTCCCAGCGCGCAAAACAAAACCCTACTCCTCTCTTCTGTTTGTCTTTTTTTTTTAATATATTTTTAATACCTTATCTGTTTCTACATCATTTTAAATTCGCATTCAGTCTCTCACCTCGACGCTCCCCGTTACTCTTGAGTATTTTTAATCTCGTTTCTGTTAGCCGTAAACAGAAGACTTTAAGGATTTTTTTTTTTTTTTTCAAATAGCAGACTGTTAAGAGGGAAGAAAGGATAAAAAAGGTACGGTGGGGCTCAGGCTGAGCTGAAAGGGTGTTTAAGAGAGATGGTTTACTGGATGCTAGAAGCACTTGGCCGCCGTCCCCCGGGACACGGCTGCGGGGAGGCACAAGCGAGGGGGAGGCTTTGGACTAGGCGGGAGCAGGGACACGAGCCCTGGGGACAGCAGCCCCCGGCCGGCCGACCAGGGCCGTGTTACTGGTGCACCTGCGGGTACCCGGCACACCCGGCTGCTCCTGACGGAGCCGGAGGGTCTGTGGGAGCAGCCCCCGCCGCGATGAGGCGACCGCGGACATGCCCTGACAGCGCCCATGAGGGGCTGAGCCAGCCAGGAAGGGGGGATGCGGGGAGGGGAGCCCAGGGCACGGGGAGGCAGGAGCAGGGCTATGAGGGAGCCCCGCCAGGAAGAGCTGTGAGGGGGGGCCTGGGCTGGACGGGCTGTGAGGAGCACCCGATCTGTGAAGGAGCCCGGGCTAGACAGGCTGTGAGAGGGAGCCGGGATGAGCTGGGAGGGGGAGCCGCCCTCCGCCACTGTCCCGGCAGCCTCCGCGCCCGCGGCGGCCCGGCCGCGTCGCAAGATGGCGGCGGACAGTGAAGTGAGTGTTTATCCTGCTCCTGCCGCTCCTCTCTCCCCCTCTCTGCCTCCCCCGCTCTCACCGGTCTCTCTCTCCGGTTTCCTCTCTCACCGCCTCTCCTGCTCTCTCCCCGCAGCCCGAGTCGGAGGTGTTTGAGATCACGGACTTCACCACCGCCTCCGAGTGGGAGAGGTAGGTGCCGCCGCGCCCCTCGCTCACCGCGGGGGTGACCCGGTGTCTCCGCCGGGCCCGGCCCGGCCGCTCCCGCCGGGAGGAGCCGGGACCCCCCGGCACGGCCGCTCTCGGCACCTGGGAGCACCCGGCGGCTCCCGGAGCCTCGTCCCGACTGTGCCACGTCCGGCTCAGGCCGCGCCCGAGGGTGGTGAAGACGCTCCAGTCGAGCTGTTTCTGAACTTAGTGAAAGGCCCAGTTTAACATCTGTTTGCAAGGGATTAAAATATACATTCAGAAGGCTTATACGTTTTTTAAGTTACTGGCTGATTATTAAAATAGTCATCTGGTAGCTGAATCCTTTAAAAGTTAGCAGAAAGATGTACAGGTCTAAGGTGAATAATGCTCTTGCCTTCTTAATGTTTTATATTTTTTAAACGCTTTTTATGTTTATGGTAAGAGACAGAGATATTAAGTGTAGGGTATAATTGTCTCAAATGTTTATTTATCTGTGAGCAGTGAAACAAGACCATATGTTAAATGTTACGTGCTGCAATACCAGAAAAAGAAAACGGTGAGATTCTTTATAAACACTCAAAAGGTTGTCATAGCAGTTGCTAAGAGTAGCTATAATCTGAAATGTAAGCGTAGGAGGTCTGTTTTATTTGTACAAGGAAGCAATTGTTCTGGTTTTATTGTTTTACTTCTTGTTGTGGGTTTTTTTGTTATTTGTTTGTTCTTCGGGGTTTTTTAAGGAGTTCCGTAGTAGGAGAACAAATTGCCTGCTTTTGAGCAGATGAATTTTAATACAAGTTCAGTATTCAGTAAATATTAATGCCTTTTCCCCTCCCTAACAGATTTATTTCAAAAGTAGAAGAAGTATTGAATGACTGGAAACTTATTGGGGTTTCTTCAGGCAAACCTCTAGAAAAGGTCAGTTAAGGATTTGAGTTTTCTTTTAGAATTTGAATTGCTAACTAGTGATTCACACATACATTTCATCTATTGCTGTTTTCTTAGGTGTGGCAGATAATGATTTTTATTAGGGAATGTCTCTTGTAAAAGTGCCGATTTGACAAACAGTTGCTGTAAATTTACTGATGGGCCATCTGCCAAACAGGCTATTTGTTGATAAAGCTGAATCTTCATATAGGACTTAGTGATTTTTTTTTTAATTTTATTTTCAATTTGAATCTGGAAAAATGATTGAAGCTGCTGTAAATTCTTAAGGAATCTTTTCCCCCTGCCTTGTGCCTTTGTCACACCTCATGTATTTGTGGCTGAGGTTTGCACAGTGCTACGAGTGACTCAGAATGTTTCATAGATTGGAGAGATTTTTTTCAGAATCTAATTAGAGCCTTTGTGGTGCTTTCTCAGTCCTGTAAAATGCAGAGGAAATTGCTAAGCTCTTCTGCATACCCGTGCAAACAAATTCAGCTGTTCCGGATGGAAGGGCTGCTGTGTTTCCAGAGGAATTCAATAGTTCTTGATTTTAGCCAGGGTACAGAGCATTCAGAATAAAAACTTATGTTATCTAATGAACTAATTTTACACCTTAGCTGTCTGTGTGTTCCTACATGTCTTGTTTGCTAGACCAGACCTCTTCTAATACCCTTTACAGATCAGAGCGTTGTCCAAGTTGCTTTGTTTTAGCAGCAGCACAGAATTCTCTACAGTTATGCTGATTTTGTTAGAATCTCCTATGCTGTATTTATGTTTAAAAATGAATTATCCTTACAGAATTTTTGCAAATCAAAGATTAAAAAATTAATTTGTTAGTGAAAGTATATTCAAAGTAAATATCAAGGTAATATTTGCACAGATTGGTTTAGGTGTAGTCCCAGATGAGAAGCTTTTGTCTCTGGCAAAACTGAGGGTGCATATACTTAAGATGCATAGTAACATATGAGAATATATTTCTATCCCTTTATTGGTGTATAATTCTGAAGATTTCTCAGGGAGATATCTGATCCTTGGAATAAACATGATTATCAACAACATGGATTTTAGCATTCAACTACCTTTATAATGAAGTGCTTTGAGCATTGTTTTTTTGAAATTAAATCATGCTTAGCTATTTATGAATAAATATTTGGCAGTAGACAAAACATAAATAAACATTATTGATCATGTAGGTAATATACTAATGAATGTTAACCTAAATTTGTTGACAAAGTAGTATATTTTTTGTATGCAGGGTATATACACCACAGGGACATGGGAAGAGAAATCAGATGAAATTTCATTTGCGGACTTCAAATTCTCAGTTACTCACCATTATCTTGTACAAGAACCCAGTGACAAAGATGGGAAAGAAGAGCTGGCAGAAGGTACCTGCTAGTTCCCTCACATACCTGTAAGGATATGACAAAAGGCAGTGTCAGAATGTGGAATTCACAGTGTGTTGATTTGCTTCTGAGTGAGATTTTGTGAGATCTGATAGGTGTGGTCTAACATTTCTGCTTTTAGTATGCTTTGCATTCACACAATGCAATTTGCAAGTGAGCTGGATGGATGCTGATGATCTTATATATGGATTTTTTTTTTTTCACAGATGCCCTTCCCCTGCCAATGCAGGACTTGCTGTGCATGAACAATGACTTCCCCCCTCGAGCTCACTGCCTGGTGAGATGGTATGTACCCTGCCTCTTGTCTCTAATGCAAACCAGCACAGCAATTGAGAAATCTCTGATGCTGGCACAAGCACTTGTATATTTGTTTTTCAATTGAAAGTTAAGGCTTAAGGAAAATGATTCTTCACACAGGAAAGGAGTGCAAAAAAAGGCCTATCTTTACTTTTGTTTTTTGTCCCCGAAGAGTTTTGTCTCAGTTTCATATATCAACCAAGTTTTTATGTATGTGGTATTTAGGTACATTCTTAAAAAGGAAAGCTGCAGCACCTTAAGAAACAGCAACTATGTTCTTAGTAATGCAAATCTTTAGCACATTATAACATTGTTCTAGAGATTGTTTTTGTGTATAAACGGTTTCAGTTGTTATTATTATAAAGTAAAAAGCCTCAGGACTGATAGACCTGGAAGTCCTCACAATCAAACACTTTACAGGGTTTGAGTGTTGTTGAGCTCAGATGGTTTGTGATTTTGGACTGCAGCACTCCCTGCCCACTCAGTTCTTGACCTCTCTGACAGAGGTACTCACATCAAATCAGATTCCACAGTCTGTTGGTGACAATTAGGTTATTCAGGTCACAGTGTTTCTAAGAATTCTGTTTCAGCTGGCTTGCTGAAGACCAGAAATGTGCTCTCTTTTTGTCTTTCTCAAGGTATGGCTTACGGGAGTTTGTGGTGATTGCTCCTGCTGCAAATAATGAGGCCGTTGTGAGTGAATCCAAGTGTAACCTTTTGCTGAGTTCCATTTCCATTGCGTTGGGGAACACTGGCTGGTAGGTGAAAGCATTTCTTACCTTTTCACATGTCCAGGTAAAACTGTAGCATGCTGCATTTGTGAGGAAAAAGTGTTAAATTGTTAGCAAAATACATTCAGAGTTTGTTGGATTTGCACTTTAATACTGTTAGAGAAAGATTAAAAAATTTTCCATGGAGATTTTAAAAAGATTGATTCAATGTGTTGTTTATATTAATTTTTGTTTAAAAACCTTAAATGCTTTCAGAAGCTGCTAGAAGTTGTTGGAAAAATAACTTATAGAAAATATAGAAACAGTAGAAAATATAATACAGAAACAGTAGAAAATATAACTTATGGGGGAGGATTTCATCCCCGATGTGTGATAACAGTAACTTCCTAATCTTCCTCAAAAATTATTTAGACTGAAAATTAGGTAACTGAAGTCATGGATATGGCTGTGACTGTGACATGACAATTTGTTAGGCATTCTCTTTGATGATGACATTAATAGCATTTTTCTTTGATTCCTTGTCAAGTGTTTTAAAGTGCGTTCCACTAAGAGAAAATATATTCCAAAGAATATGAAATGACGTTTGAAATTATGCTAAAATATTTAGCTAGTTTTAAAGACTACAAGACAGCTTGACGCCTTAAATAATCTGAAATATTCATGTTTTGCAGTCAGGTACCACTGTTCGTGCAGATACACCAGAAGTGGCGCCGGATGTACGTTGGGGAATGTCAGGGCCCGGGAGTCCGGACTGACTTCGAAATGGTCCATCTGCGCAAGGTGCCCAGCCAGTACACTCACTTGTCAGGGCTGCTGGAGATCTTCAAAACCAAGATTGTAAGTGCAGCTGAATGTATGAAACTGAGGTTAGGAATAATTGTTTTATTACCTGGATGCTTGTAGATTCACCAGTGTCTGACCATGAAGAGTGACAGTTGGTGTGCGTGTGGTTCCTGGGTGTTACCACCTTCCACATTTAATTTTCACTGGGATGTGAAATAATGTGTCTGTTTTACAGTTTCCTTGTAACAACTCTTTTCCCCATGGCCCAAACAAACTCTATTTTGTTATTGGCAAGGAGAAGCGGGGGTTGGGGTGGGTTTTTATTCTGATACTTTGTAACTCCCCAAGCTGAGAGGGAAGAACACCACTTTAGGATGGGAGGAGACTGAGAGGGCTGCTTGTTTACGGAGTGGT